CGAAATGATGGTAAATCGTTCACTCTAGATGCATACTATAAATGATAAAAAAATCATGTCTTCCGAATGTACTATTAAGATTTTATGGAAAAAAAGCTAAAGGTCTTCCGGCCAGACTGATCATCCCTATATCATCTCAATAAATTCTGCTAGTGTCAATTGTAAAGCATTAGTAGTTTTATATCCAAGTCAGATACAAAACTGACATGTTAATTCATTATGACAGTTATTTTCACTCATTAGGTGAATAGAATCTTCTTTTTCTTTTTCTCTCTCTAGTCGTGAAAAATAAAGTAAAATTTGATGCGGAAATTTGAGAAGAAGAACAAACATCCGGTAGTAGAAGAGGGTCGAGATATGCGAAATAATAGAGAAAGGAAGCAGTCCTAAGTTTAAACTCTACTGTGTAGAAAAACTGAAAAGCGCTCGACACCTATGATGAATCACTCTTTTCTTAACACACGTTCTTTTATTAAACAGCTTTATAGAAAAACTTTTAACGATGCCCAACGATGAGTATTATGGAACTGAGAAGAATTTGTACGAGTAGCCACATAAGTCAACTTTCACGCTGAATTCATGACATGGTCCCGCTGTCGCATCCGTGATCGCTATGGACTCGTGTTGTTACATCTCGATCACGCTAAAAATTTCATTTTTTCAAACGATATTAGCCATTACTCACGATAAAAGGTTTTGGTGCGACACGATCCTGGAGGAGTCTTGGAACTCCCTAAGTGAGTTGCTACACATGATTTTGACGCGATAAAACTCTTCATCGTATAATTACAACTATATTTCCCACCACAGAGTTCACATCTGATTCCATACATTATTCTGAATTTTTGCTTTTTCATTTCAACGATCGTCATTCAGGAAACAACATTTTTTCATACTTACTCTTGTGTAAATTACTCTTCTATCAGAGTTTTTGTTACTGTTGTCAACTCTTTGCGATTGCTTGACGAACTCGTATCTTGATTAAGTAACATACGACATGAAATGTTTTGTGTTTTTTTGGCTCACAAACTGAAAACAGATAACAGAAAATTAAGAAACAGAGCAAGATGTTTGACCATGTATTCCGATTTCCAGTTCAAATCAAAAGTGTAAAAACATACTTCAATGAAAATCTGCGTAAATTCATGAAACTAATAGTAATTAGTACTAAAGTCATCAAAAATGTTTTTTTCAACCCTAAGTCATACTGCTATGTTCTATTACAGTCAGATGAGAGAAATGTCCATACAAGATATATTTTGTGCGAAAAGAGATGTCGCATTATTTATTAGGTTCCTATTATATAATAAAACTTAAGGCTGTTATCGCGACACTACTTTACATGAGTATCTTTTATTTCACAGGCTAGACAGTAGCGTCCTCTTTGTGTGTTTTGATTGATCAAAAATTGTGAACTCATTTTCGCATAGGGCAGGTAAGTGCGATTGTATATGATAAAACGAAGCGAACAAAAATTTAAAGAAAATTGTATAATTTCAAGAAAGTGAAGCAAAAAATAAAATGAGCGAATTTGTCAAATTTCTTACTGCTCATGACGTGCAGATTGGTAATGAAACAGAGGATTTAATAAATCGACTTTTAGCTAACGTAAGTCGTTAAAATAATTGTCTGTTTAGCATAAAACACTCATTTCTTTCTCGTTTTCTTTTCTAGGATAATACTCTTAAATCAAATGATCAACTTAATTTTATTTTATCTTGTGATAAATTATTTTGTACGTGTATGAAATGTGGCGTACTATCCTTGCCAAGAGATATTTCGTTGTATACCAATCCATCATCAACACTATCTTCAGATGAAACGTGTCGACGTGATTTAATTCTTCTCTATAAATGTTATTTGAAGTATTTACTCAAATGTTTACAAGCAACATCAACATCTAAAAAAATTCAACGTCTAAGAGTTCAATCATTGGTATCATTATTTAAATTGTTAAAATATGAATCACGCTGGCCATTAGCCGTTACAGGAGATAACAAAAAATTTCCAGTACATCTATTAAATGATATTATTCAATCATGCTTTTTACAGTCTAATACTACTAAAAGTGTACATCTCATGAAAAAATGTCGTGTCTACTTTAACTTTGTTGATATTCGATATTTTACACTAAAGCAATTACTTCAACAACAACAGTTAGATGCATCGAATCTGCTAACTATGCTTACACTATTCAAATTTGATAATGATGAGAGTGAACCAAAATTATTTACATTTGATAAGTCGTTAAAAAAACACGATAATAGTGAACAAAAGAAACTGTATGATCAAGTCATAGTAGAATTGTTATCTCAAAAATTTTCTCCAGATAGCTATCATCGATTTTTATTACAAATACCTGAGAAGATCATTACACAAATGGCAAATCCATTGATATTAGCCGATTTTCTTACACAAGCATATTCATCAACGTCAACATCATCGTCAAAAATATTGGCATTACATGGCATTTATATACTGATGACCGAACATAATCTGGAATATCCTTACTTTTATGTCAAATTGTATTCCTTATTGGACGTCAATTTGTTTCAGATGAAATATAAAGCAAGGTTTTTCTATTTATTGAACATTTTTCTACAATCTTCTCATTTACCATCGTCACTTATCGGTGGTTTTCTGAAACGTCTTTCTCGTTTATGTTTATATGCACCACAGACAGATTTATGTCTACTAATTACATTTATTCAAAACTTACTTATTCGACATCCAGTTACTCAAATCATGATTCATAAACAAACAACATCAGAAACAACAGATGGATATTTGGTCGATGAACTCGATCCAAGTAAATCAAATGCTCTAGAAAGTTCTTTATGGGAAATAGAATCTTTAACAACACATATTTATCCAGATGTTAGTCAATTAGCTCGTTTTATAATTCAACGATGTAGACCTCAAAATAAAACAGAGAGAGATTTGGATAAATATTTAGACGTTGATTATGAACAAATGTTTGATGATGATATGGAAATAAGTGATCGTCGACAAGATAATGATGAAGGATGTCCAATTAATTATGAAATGAATGGTGACTTTATGTCGTCGACATTGTTATTTGGTTACTAGTTTTGTTAAAGTTAAATAAAATAAAATCCGGCAAAAATATAAAAGCACTGCATTTAATATCTTGTTAGTAGTTTCAACATACGTCGCGTTCGTATCTGAGCAGCAGATCCGAGGCTGTTAATAACCGATGGTCTTGTTCTTAGCATCTGTCATGAACTCTTTCCTATGATCTTTCTATTGCTCCTTTCACTAGATTTAGAGATAATAAATGAAGCAGGATCAGAGCTGGGCAACTCAACCCCGGACTTGAGCTCTTTTTTTGCGGAGTTGGGGTTTGCTTTT